GAGACTAAATCAAAGGCACCCTCAATTTGTCTTCTAAGTGCTTTCAAAAGAGCCCACTTCATTAGATGGAAAAGCTTCCCTCCTTCACCTCTGTGAAAAATAACAAATAACCTTCCAAAGTGATAAGATGTGAGGAGTGTGCCAGTAGAACTAGAGCAGCAGGCAAGAAAATCTAGAGAAAGACCGCTAGAAAGTAGTAAAAAGAGATAAAACTGCTATCTGTTAAATGTCTTATGTTTCAGGGATTAAAAATGAGTGGGTACATTAAAAAACAATAAAAAACAATTTTTTTTCCCCCAGAATATTCTCTATCTTAACTCAGAAAAATCTCACTACAAATGTATCTCGGAACCTGGCAGTGGGAGAGGAGGAAGCGCCTCTGTGTGTGATTTCCCTCCCTGTTAGAAAAGAGAAAAAAATCTCAGGGCTGCCTCAGTCACTCCAAGCATGAGAACAGCCAGTGATTTCTTAACTCTGTACTTAATGTAAAAATCTACTCTTTCCCAGTGTTTCATTTATCTGTTAGAGTTTCCAGTGTGTTGTCTGCTGTTTATTAGTGTACAATCTGTTGTCCTTTAGATTATAAATGCCAGCAGGTTAGACCACAGGTGTGCTACCTGAATTTGTACAGGTAAAGCCCCAAGCCACAAGCACACAGGCATCAGATGCTATTTGATTAAGATGATAAGTGGATTACATTATATTTATACTAACCCTCAAACAGATTACTTAAACTTGTTCTAACAGAACAATGGGGATTAACACTAACTAGGCCACTTTGCCCTAGGTCTTCAGGACTGGGAGGAAAAAGAGCCCAGTCTACTCTCTAGCAAGCAGCTGCAATGCTTCCATTTACTCCTTATACCCCAGGTGATATATATGGTACTCATTTCATTCAACTGGGCCAAAACAAAACAACTGATAGCCCATGATCCTTTCAACCTCCCTGCTCTACACATATTTTAGGGGAAGACTAGCCCATTAATTTATCAGAGACATTTAAAAAACAAAAAGCCTTAAGATAATGCTTCAAACTTGGACCACATGTATAAGTCCACAGGCAAATCTTGGTTTTTAAAAACTCCTATGTGGCGCCTGTGGCTCAGTGCGTAGGGCCCCAGCCCCATATACCAAGGGTGGCAGTTTCAAACCTGGCCCTGGCCAAACTGCAACAAAAAATAGCCGGGCGTTGTGGCAGGCACCTGTAGTCCCAGCTACTGGGGAGGCTGAGGCAAGAGAATCACCTAAGCCCAAGAGCTGGAGGGAGCTATGATGCCACAGCACTCTACCCAGGGCGACAAAACGTCTCCAAAATAAATAAATAAACAAAAACTCCCATGTAAATATACAGGCCTTAAATCCAGGATAACAACCTAATTCTATTTCTACTTGAGTCACTTTACAAATCATTGTTGGTCCTAATTTATTCAGATATAAACTTATTTACCAACTAATTAAAAGTGAAAAGCATTCTGAGAAGCAGCATATAGAGAACTCTCTCAAATTTCAAAACCTACAATGAAATTTTATAACCTTAAATGAGATTTAAGCTTTACGAAGTTCATACAGCATGCCTGACTTCTTCCCTCAAACATGTAAATTCAATCTCTTCTGATTCCTTTTCTGTTTTCCTAGCAACCTCTTTTCTCGACACTATGAAAAGGGCTTTTTGTCAAGATCCTGAAGGAAATAAGGACTCTTAAAAACTGCGATAAATCTCTGTTTAGATGAAATACCAGGAAGCATGAAGGCCTGAAAATGACCTGTGATGTAGGCTACTTATATTAGACAACAAAATTCCTTTCTAATATACTATGTGAAAACTGAAGGAATGAGAGAACAAGAAACCCAGAGAAGGGACTAGGAAGTACACAAGAGTAAACAGAGTAATATCAAGGGCAAAACAATTTGGAGAAGAGGAGAGAAGCTTAAAGTTAGCTAGTGAACAGTGCATCATGCAGGCAGGGAATACATAAAAGGCCTCCACAAACTTTAAAACAGAAAACATCGGATCTCACTTTGGTTTATATTTTCCCCAATATACACTACAAAACTGCACCGAAAGTCTACCTGAATCCTCAGATCTACAGGTTATGTCCTGCATTTAAATGCACTAAAGAACACAAATTCATATTAGGAATACTTGATTTTTAAAATAAGGGTTGTACCTTAACTTCTAGAAACCTACTCAACTACCAAGTGGGCTTTTGTAGGGCAACCAATTGCCTGTCTGAGGAACCCCTTTCCTCCAAAAAGCGCACGCCAGCTCTTCTTTGGTAAAACTGGATAAGAAGGAGCACAGGGTCATAATCTTTTAGGTGAGGAAAATGTTCCAGAAGGCTCTGCCCAAGAGGGCTACATAGCATGTAAGAGTTAGTCCAGGTGAAGAGATCAAAAGGAAAGGCTTGTTTAGGGGTCCTTTCTTAACCTTACCAGCAATGCTTGATTTGTTCTCATCTTCTGCATCTTTGCTGACAACTGCTACTTCGCCTCCTTTTCCATGGGGACCCCTATCAGGGACACCATTCAAAGAGGCTCTCATCAAGCGAGGTATTCAACTGAAATTCCCAAAATTCTCCTAAAATATCCACCTCAAAAACTTGTAAAAAATCCTAATGAGGTCAAGAAAAAAAAAAAAAAAACCCTAGGACTTGGTACAATTTTTTGTTCTTCATTATACACCAATGAGAAGTCAGAACACCATACTTGTGTTCCCCCAAAGTGAGACTCAATTTCCCTAATATGGCCAGGCCACATTTTTCAAAATATACAGAAATTTGTGGATAGAAGAAGTGGTAGTGGGCAACTGGGCAAGGAACAAAAGGAACAACGGCAGTGGACTCCACTGTCTCCACCAGCATTAAAATGGCTTTTGATGTCCTTGGCAAGGGCTGCCCAAGTGGAGACACCTGTGACACACATGGCCCCTTTGCTCCAGTCTTTGTACTCTTGATGGAGTCTGGGTTACTGGGAGGAAAAGGAAGAAATTACACACCCTGGGTCTGAAGTAATTCTACCGTTCTGAGAAGGTAGACGGCATCACTAGTGCTCAGTCAGAGTCGTGAAAGGCATAGAATTCCCTACTCAAATTATAAGGATTCAGTTAGCCTAAAGGAAACATGAGACTTTAACCAGGGTAGTTTCAAGTCCTCACAATTTACCTTTCAAACACACACATATCACAAAAAAATACTGGTTATTCAATTTCCATATAACTATAGTGAGAAACTATTTTAAATGAAAGGAATTCAAGAAAAGCAAAATCTAAAACATAAAACTTAACCCAAAATTATTTCAAAGTTTCATCTGAAACTTTTAAAAGGGTTTATTGTACTGAGACTAGACCCGTTTTTGCTAGACGTTTGGACCAAAAACCACCTAACAAAGCGTTGGAGTTGGGAGTAGATAATCAAAAAAATTGCTGAAAAACTGGTAAAGGCTGATAAACCAACGTCTCAACATAAGGTGGGTGGAAAGGCAATTTCGGACATTTTAAGGCATCTTTTAAAAGTTAACCCTAGAAAGCAGAATAGCATAGCGATTTTAAAGACTAGATTCTGCGGTCAAACTGCTTGGGTCAAAACGCAGGCTCTAGCCGCTTACAGCGGCGGATCCGCAGCAAGGTGCTTAAGTTCTCTGATTTTTAAGTTTCCTCACCTGTAAAATGAGAATTATACTGGCACCTACCTCACTGCTAGTTGGGGAAGTAAAGGAGGAAAATGAACATGAAGCATTTAAGACAGTAAATCTTCAGTAAATGCTATCTGTCCGCAAGAGTATGTGTTCAGGAGATCAAATTTACTAAATGGACACATCAGCTTGGTTAAATAGAAATCTCAGAAATTTTATAAAAGCATTTTACTCCCCCTTTACACACATAATGCAGCATCCACCTTCCAAATGATGTGGAAATTACATACTTTCATTCATCCGTTTGAGAGCTTGTCATTAATGCAAGAAAGAAGAAAGATGCCTTCTTCATAGCTGTTGCTCCTTTCCAACTTCGAAATACTGTCACGTACACAATAGGTTGAGCTGCCCTCAAAATGACAGCTCACAGCTTTGCAGGGCCCGCAGAGGCGCCCGGGCGGCTGTGCCCGGAAGGGGCTCACCCCAACCCACGGCGGATCCCCCACCTCCGGAGCCAAGCACAGCGCACGCCGGGAGCCCCAAGGAACACCAGAGAACTCTCAGAAACCGGGAAGGACCCTGAGTCGTGGAGGAGAGGAAGAAAGCGAGGAAAGAAGGGGGGCTCAGGGTCACAGAGGGTCGGGAGGCACACGCGGAGCAGGCGCGTCCCCGATGACAAGCCTCGGGACCGGGTGCCGGCGATGGGCAGCGACGTCCCGGGCGGCCCGCTCCCCTCCTCCTTCCCTTCCCCCGCGAGCACCGAAGCCAACTCCGGTCCCGCGCCAGACTCGCCCCCTCGGCGCCCCCTTACCTAAAGGCGGGTCCTTCCTTGGGAGCCCTGCCCTGGGCAGACGCCGACGCGGGGCTGCCGCCACTGCCCCTTTTGTTGAAGAGCTTCTGGAGCAGGGTCGGGGCCATGATGCTGCCGCCGCTGCAGCTCCGGCCGCGGAGCTCGGGGGGCCGCCGGCTCAGCGCGCAGCCGGGGGCGGCGGCCGCGGTGGCGGGGCCATCGCGGCGGCGCGGCCGCCCAGCTTTGCGGGAGCGCGGGGCCGCTGCGGCTGAAGTGGAGACACCTGTGACACACATGGCCCCTTTGC